CCTGGAATTATAGATGACTTCGGTTTTATGTGTTAGGTCTCGTAAAATTAAAATAACGTTTTTTAGTTGTTTGTATCACTATGTTAGTCTTAAGGATCTATAAACTAGTGTGGCACAAAACAGTGACATAATTTGCATTTAGTAGATATAAACCTGACATAAACATCATGTAGTTTGTCGCTTTCGCCTATTTAGATCAATGTTTTTTTTTTGGCGTCGCCTCATACTTCAGTTTCTCATCAAATCTTCTGACCAATCAAGTGCTCTCGGGTATCTGACATGCCCTGCCCCTCTCAATAGCTTTTCATTGGATGCGCTTGAGCTCAACCACTCTCACTGGCAGAGCTGTGGGGAAAAACTCAACGCTATTGGCTGTTTTTTAATGAGGGGGAGGAGCTACTATATGCCCCGCCCTGTTTTAATGTTTCAGTTGAAACAACGTCAAACATCGAATAAAGATTGCACATTTCAAAGCACTTCATGGAACCTTTAAAGTGAAATTGCTGAACTAACCAGTCTAATGTCTTTAAAAAGGAGAAAGCAGGAGAAAACATTTCACATGTGGTCTAGCTTACTTAAAGCATGCCCGTATAGCCAGAGGTGGTTTGGGTGGCACGGCCAAAAGGTCCAGAATTTGTCCTTTTAATTATTTTATGTAGTTTAATATTATATATTTATTATACAAGTAATATAATATATTTAGATTCAATATATATTGTAATAAAGTGTAATTTTAAATAACTCTGGCCAGTAATTCGAATCCCATAAATCAGTGGTCACCAAACTTGTTCCTGGAGGGCCGGTGTCCTGCAGATTTTTGCTACAACCCTAATCAAACACACCTGATCAAGCTAATCAATGTCTTACTAGGTATACTTGAAACACCCAGGCAGGTGTGTTGAGGCAAGTGGGAGCTAAACCCTGCAGGGACACCGGCCCTCCAGGACCAGGATTGGTGACCCCTGCCATAGAGCGTCAAAGCCACAATGATGTGACACGAGTCACATGACATAACCCACTGAGTGGTCACATTTGAATCTTTGATGCGACATCCATCGAAAAGAGCCACCCCTCACTGACAAAGGTCCAGAATTTGTCCCATACATGAGCTCATTTGTCCTATTTTGACTGCTATGCCATCATAAATAATCAAAATAAAAAGGCTTTAAGACCAAACGGAATCCTCTGTCGGCTGTTGCACCGGTGGGACTGTAGTCCGATGTAGGAGAGGTCTTCTGTCACTACTGTATTGTTTTTAAAGAGAGAAAACATTTCAGGTGACTTTTATTCTAAATTTTGGATCTTATTTCTGAAATATAAATGAGCAATAAAAAGGTGTGAAGCACCAGATGCTGACCATTTTAAATTAATTTGAATATATTTTGGCTTTTGTTGATATCTAGGAATTTTCAAATGTACTTTTTTTTACCAAAAAGGCTAGAAAAATTCTGAAGAATTCATTATTATTGTATTATTATTATTGTTATTATGTTTTAATAATTTTTTTTAGAAATTAGTATTTTAAAAATTAGTCGTTTTAATTTTTTTATTGCAATGTTTTAGGAAATATTTTTAGTACATCAAAAAGTGTGGTTATGATGACATCTGACTAGATAATCCTGCAAAAAAAGTCCCTAAAATGCAGTATTTAAATCTCATAGTTAGAAACTGAGGCGTATAAATGCTAAAAGGTCCACTTTTTGAGAAAAGAACCACCCCTTCCACCAGGCTGGCTACGGGCCTGTAAAGGTGGCATGAAATGGAAGTTGTGGTAGACTTTTCTATATTGTGACATACACTGTATTTGGGATGTCTGCCTTTGCATGCACACAAATCTTAATGACACCCCAGTCTTAATCTGTAGATTTATCCCACCCTTAGCATCTCACACAGCTTGTTCTCTTCTGAGAAGGCTTTCCGCAAAGTTTAGAAGTGGGTTTGTTTATGGGAATTTTTGACCATTCTTCTAGAAGTCTGGCACTGACGTTGGACTTAATTGGGTTGAGGTCAGGACTCTGTGCAGGACAGTCAAATTCCTCCACACCAAACTCACTCATCCATGTCTTTACAGAACTGGTGAGCCAATGTGATGATGGAAGGATTTCAGAATGACTAAAACTATATTTCAGATGTTTCAAAATGCAATCGGTCTGCTTCTTTATCCATTAACGTGTCGCTTCCATTTTTTGTCATCGCATATTTTGTTAAAATCACATTAATTTTTTTGATGCGCGTGTTGGAATTTATTCAGTAAATGCGTTTCCATCATAATTTATGCACGTTTTTTCTTTATTGGGTAAAAAGTTTATCCACATGCACATGTTCTAAATTGATCATTTATGTTTCATATTCCAAAATGCTCATATAAATAGGCGAATGGAAGTTTTAGTGACTGAATTAAAAAAAAATAGTTGTCTTTTGTCATGTCACTTTAAATCCTTGAGCTTATTTAATCTGGAGGGATTCTGGTTGGCTTTCAATGTTCACCAGCTGAAAAAGACCACTGTGAAAGTGGAAGTGATGGCATTGCTATCCGTTTTGTTTTTGACGCTGCGCTACTTTCACATATAAATCTTCTGACTGTTGTGATAGTTGTGCTGAGGCGTTTGGAGTGTGTGTCTGAAAGAGTAACGTGATGTCTCCCGCTGAGCTCTGCTCTCCTACAGCGTGCAGGTGTTGTTTGTGTATCTGTTGTGTCTGATGGATGTGTTCGCTTCTCTGTTCTTGCTCAAGTGGAAAGGACTGGAAGACGTACTGGGACTATAAGCAGGCGGCAGGGTCGTATCAGCTGGCCTGGACACAGCTGCGTCTGCAGGCCTTCCCTCAGTGGCCCCGCGGGCCCCGACAACTGCTGCTGTTTCAATAGAGGAATGGCCAAGCCAACACTGGAGCTTCAACCACTGAAGGTTTAATAAATGTATTCACATTCACTGCCTTTCTCTCTTTTGGTAAATATAATTTAGTCATCTTCGAGCAAAAGGACTGAAGCAAATTTTCAGCCAAAATATATATATATATATATATATATATATATATATATATATATATATATATAGAGAGAGAGAGAGAGAGAGAGAGAGCAATATCAGACGAGTAGCAGTGCGATATGGCTATATATCGGTGATATACAGCCATATCGCACTGCTACGAGCGTGATATTGCGTTTATACAACAGTTTGACGGCATAATTGTGTATATAAAAAAATCAAACATGGAGAGTCTCAAAAACCCTTTTGTATGAGGAACTACTTTCTTCCGCCTTGGATTCAGATCATAAGCTGACAGTTAAACAGCTGAGCAAGCATATTTTAAACTTAAGATCTGTAGCGTCTGCCTTCTGCTGGCTGTATGTGGTCGGAGTAATACACAAGGGTAAAGAGGCTGTACGGGTGCTGATATTACTTATATATATCACAGATATCAGCCAATCAGATTCAAGAACCAGACAGAAGTGTTGTGTAAAAATGTATATGTATGTATGTATATATATATATATATATATATATATATATATATATATATATATATATATATATATATATATATACACATACATACATACATACATATATATCATTAAGTGGATTTCATAACATTCCAAACTAGGAAATAAAACATTTATAAAATAAACTACACATAAATTAAAAAAATTATTGTATTAAAAATAATGTATTTATTGTATTTAATAGTTAGGGCTTTCCTAAATTTTGGTTTGGGGGTATGAAGATGGTTGTGTGTTGGGTTTGGTGTGCATGGGGACTGTACCAAAAAAGCTGAGGGGTGGTGAGGGTGTTGATAGGGGTTGCGGGTGGAATTCCAGAAGTTTTCCGGGAGATAACAAAATACAGGAGATGGGCGGGAGATGTGTCTGAAATACGGGAGACTCCCAGGAAAAACAGAAGTGTTGGCAGGTGTGCCCTCAAGGCAAGTCATTTCACTCGGTGGCCATCTTTGAAATGTTTCTCGGGCAATACGCTCGGGCATTTCTGTTTAAATGGGGAAACATCAAATTCTCCAAATATTCCTGTCAAGCTTACGATTAAATTTGATAGTAGAAATCGCCAATAAAATTAAACAACTGTCTATTTAATTTCATTTCTAAAACGTTTGAATTTATAGAAACTCACGTCTGGGCCGAGCCCCTCCTCTGGAGAACCACCAGTCTATAGCGATCGATGATTGGCTCCTGTACTAGAAGGCGGGGCTTCATTCAACATATTGGCTGTTTCTCAATTCCAAGAACGCAGAGACCGGTCTTGCCAGGTGTCCTCGGAAGAACGAACTCGGGAGACCACGAGAACAGAGAATGCGTCCTGTAAGTAATGAGATGCTGCGTCCTTCTTGATAGTCACATGACCTTCACGCGTTTTTAACGGAAAATGGTTTAAAAATTACAGCATTCATACAACGATTTACTGTTTTTCCCCTTTTCAAAATACATACTCTGCATAAAAACATGATAAATATACACTGCACAATATAAATAAAATCTTTTTTATATACGAATTTCAGCAAATTAACACCCTTAATGTGTTTTTATTAAGATTTCCATGGTAATGTTTACTTTCACTGTTTCATTTAGGGAAACTCCTGAAGTAAATAAGTGATATCTCTGAACTTTAATATTAAATCTAAATAAAATGCTGCGATTCCCACCTCCAGTCGCAATGACTTCTGGGACTTCCAGATCGAGTTCGGTGTTCAAGTCCGCATCAGTGCATCCTCGATATCGAGAACACATCCGGGAAGTTTCACCCGTCCTCCGTTCTTGCGGTCTTGATTTTTGGAACTGAACTTAGGCAGCTGATGGTGACTTTACACGAGGACGCAAGACCGCTGAAGAACGCATATTGAGAAACAGCCATTGATCGTTAAACTTTTCCCCAATCAAAACTATACAAGTGACGTGTCTTGAGTATTCTGTAGCCTTTGGTTTAAACTCTGAAAAATGAGTCTGAATGAGAACAGTGGTGAGTATTTCTCAATAAATAACAATTATGTAATTTTTTGGTGTCGGTTTTTATTGGTTAGGTCATCCAGCTACCTTACCTTTCAGTAATCTTAAATACATAATTTACAGGGGAAAAAGAATACAGATAAATTAAAACATTAAAAGTGACTATATATATTCTCCGTGTCGACATTATTAAGAAGCGTCTGTGATAATACTGCAACACCATTCACCGAAAGAAGAGGGAAAACAATCACTAATGCTGTGGATCTAATGTTTGAGAGCACAATATGACGGGTGACGACAGAAGTACAAACACGTCTGCTGTGTGTGATTATTATGTCACAGATCCGCTTTCGCAATCCAGCAAGTCCAAAAGAAACGCGAGTGAGGAGGAGGAGGAGGAGGAAGATGCGGGAGATTAATATCCAAACGTGTTTTCTCCACTGTAGGCCACGTACAAAAAGCCGTCCTCGTCTTGTTCTTTCTCGTAGAGCTGCCCCATAGTCAGACTGAAACAAGAGTGCAGATTCAAAAGCTCAGATAGACATCGAATTATGCTCATGAGTTACATTTCATAGATACATAACAAAACAATTACTGCTTAAACTACTTTTTTATACTGTTAAGGTGTCATTTCAGTATTAATATCACAACTATAAATATCAGTTATCTGTGTAAATATACAGTGTTAGTATTATTATAGAACTATAAATATCAGTTATCTGTGTAAATATACAGTGTTAGTATTATTATACAACTGTAAATATCAGTTATCTGTGTCAATATACAGTGTTAGTATTATTATACAACTATAAATATCATTTATCGGTGTAAATATGCAGTATTAGTATTAATATACAACTGTAAATATCAGTTATCTGTGTAAATATACAGTGTTAGTATTATTATACAACTATAAATATCATTTATCGGTGTAAATATGCAGTATTAGTATTATTATACAACTGTAAATATCAGTTATCTGTGTAAATATGCAGTGTTAGTATTATTATACAACTGTAAATATCAGTTATCGGTGTAAATACGCAGTGTTAGTATTATTATACAACTGTAAATATCAATTATCGGTGTAAATACGCAATATCAGTATTATTATGCAACTGTAAATATCAGTTATCGGTGTAAATATGCAGTATTAGTATTATACAACTGTAAATATCCGTTATTATTGTAAATTTACAGTATTAGTATTATTATACAACTGTAAATGTCAGTTATTGGTGTAAATTTACAGTATTAGTATTATTATACAACTGTAAATGTCAGTTATCGGTATAAATATACAGTATTAGTATTATTATACAACTATAAATATCAGTTATCTGTGTAAATATACAGTATTAGTATTATACAACTATAAATATCAGTTATCGGTGTAAATTTACAGTATTAATATTATTAAACAACTATAAATATCAGTTATAAAACATCATATTTAAAAAAAAAAAACAGTTATTTTTGTGTTTCGCTGTTTTATTTAAACTTCGGTCAAGGTTTTTTTAATTCTGCTTTTATTAGTATTACCCCAGCAGGCACAGGATGTCAACATGACGTCAAATTGACGTTATACCCAACTTTGTGGGGACATTGCATTTTGTTTGGCAATGAAAATCAGCTTGATGCCAGAACCCAATATCAGGCCGACATCAATGTCCAATCCAAAATCAACGGCTAATGATGTTGCAGCTTGACGTTGTGTCGAAGTTACCACCATGACGTCTATCAGACGTTGGATTTTGGTTGCCATACTCTACGTATAAATGTCAGTATTTAACATCAATATGACATTGGTTTAAGATGTAAGCTCGATGTTGGATTTTGGTCACTTTCCAACACAACCTAAAATCAACCAAATATCATTGTCGTTTGAGGTCGTTATTGGGTATTAAAATAATGTCGTCTTTAGACTCTGGCTAGACATTAAATTTAGGTCACATGCCGTCACAACCTAAATCGAACCTAATATTAATGTCTTATAACATTGTGTGCCTGCTGGGACGCGTCTAAAAAATAAATTAACAAAACAAATATTGTATGTTTATTTTGCCACGCCAATTCGTAACCTTTTGATTTAGTGGCTAATTTGTAATAATTTGTACAATGCCATTTTAGTATGAATTTGCTCATCCACCAATGAGGGGTTTTGAGACCCTCCTTTAAAATTTCTTATGTTGTCAAACAAAATCGTATGAATTTGGCACTTTTCTAACAATACGTAAAATTGTTACGTTTCCTCGTTATATCGGGATGGGTTTTACATATTACTTACATATTACATATTAATTTATTTAAGTGATTTTTTTAATGACTAAAATTACTTAAGATTTTTTATTTAATAAATTTACTTACATTTATTAAATTTAAATTAAATACAATGTTTTTTAAATTAAATTTAAATAAAAAAATGTAAAAAAAAAAACGTAATTTAACATTTTTTTATTTGATAAAATTTATTATTAAATTATATATATATATATATATATATATATATATATATATATATATATATATATATTTTTTTTTTTTTTTTTTTTATTTAAAGTTCAATTTAGATTTTATTTTAATAACCAAGTAAATTTTATATTTCTCATGAGAGAAATGATGTCAATTTAATGTGATATGCACTGGATTATTTAGTGTAAATAAATATTGTATCACGTTTTGGAGTCCACATCAATTCTAATCAAGTTTACAAAATTTTTTTTTGTATTTTAGATATTTGCGGAAAGCATATTACATTACAAGTTAAATCTTAATGTATGGGAGTCTCACTTGTACCATTTTAAATCAAGAAAAAGTGCCTGTGAAACCGGTTCACATTAATCAAATGGATTAGCACTAATGTCTATAGCAGTGATGTTTGTTCTTGAGTCACTTTACGCTGTAACCTTGAACCTACAGAATAGGAGCGTGTTTGAGAAGGTGAAGGTAAACAGGGGATATTCAGGATTTACAGGAGGATGTGAGGTGTGACCTGAAGCGTCACTGCAGGAGGATATTCAAGATGTCATATTTTTCCCTTATCAGCGCTCAGTCACACCCCTATAAGGTTTGAGTCTGAATGCTGCGTGTTCAGAATGCGGAGCCAGTAGATCAGCATTGCAATCATGTGTGCTGTCGAAGTAAACAGCGGCAAACCCTGGCGCTTTATTTCCTGGATTATTTGCATGCCGCATATGAGAGGAACAAGACTGGACTTTTATAAGTGCCCATAAAAGCTCTGGAAGTGTTAATTATACGAAATATTTTTTTATAATTGTGCTGTCAATAGTGCTGGCATGGTGGCTCAGTGGTTAGTACTGTCACCTGACTGCAAGAAGGTTGCTGGTTCGAGCCCTGGTTGGGTCAGTAGGCATTTCTGTGTGGAGTTTGCATGTTCTCCTTCTGTTGGGTTTCCTCCAGGTGCTCCAATTTCCCCCACAGCCCAAAGGCATGCACTAAATTGGCTGTAGTGTATGAGTGAGCGAGTGAGTGAGTGAGTGAGTGTTTCCCAGTATTGGGTTGCAGCTGGAAGGACATCCGCTGTGTAAAACATAGGCTGGATAAGTTGGTGGTTCATTCCACTGTGGTGTCCCCTGATGAATAAAGGGACTAAGGTAAAGGAAGATGAATGATTGAAAGTCACGTGTGTGTGTGTGTGTGTGTGTCTGTGTGTGTGAGTAAGTAAACTATCTGGAAATTTCCATTTTTGAGTGAACCGTCGCTTTAAAGCAGCAATTTTATTTTCAATTTCAATTTTAACACACACGGTTTCATTGTGTTGCGGCACCAGTTTTTATGGAAGCCCATTAAACATCTGATATTTGCATATGCACATGCCACAATAGCATTCTGAGCTCCTCCTGAAGTCAACATGATGTAGATCACAACATATGCAAACTGCAGTCTCACATACAGCTAGCTTGTGTTGTTGATCCAGTCAAACTGAGTGCTGATGAGCAAATTTGATGGCATGTTTAAAGGCCTAGTGTATAAGGCCTCTATAATAAGATTCGGTCTTCGCTGGATGCCACGTTTCATTTCCGGTCTGCCACTTTAGATGCTCAAACTCATATTCTCATTGGCTAGAGATGTCAACAATATAGATTTAAACAATATAGTTCATCAGTGTTGTTGTTGTATGTAGAGATTTGTTATTCGAACTGTGCTTTACATGGAATATTATGGGGTGGGGAGGGTGGGGTCTAATGTTAAATCAGAAAAGATTATTTAGGGTTTTTTCATATCTGTGGTTCAGTTCATTTGGTCCGGACCAACAAATGATGCATTGTAGCATTTTCTGTCGTCTTTGGGTCGTTTTCACACCACACTGATTGCTTTGGTCCGATCCAGTTGAAAAGAACCAAAATGCAGTCATGTGACAAAATCCACATCACTCATTGGCTAGATGTTATTGAATGTATTTCCTAAACTGCTTATCAATTGGTCAGAATTACCCTGTGGGAAATTCCAATGAAACTTCCACAAGTAAACAAACCGGCAGACACAAAATGTCGCTCTTTACTATGGAGGGACGACTGCGGTGGCTGATTGTATCCCTGCTCATAGTATAAATATAGTTTGTATACATCACTTTAGACAAACTATACATTTCCATAATGAAGCGCGACTGTGGCTGGAAAACAATGTATTAAGGCAATCATAAGGCGAAGGCGCATCGTATGTCACTTCAGGAGGAGGCGTGAATTCATCCTGCTATACTGTGACCTTGTAATCTCCTCTCTCTCTCTCTCTCTCTCTGTTGGTAAAGTGGTCAACAAATATTTTTCCTCCACATCCCATAATGCACAGCGCATCGGGCTACGGTAGCTGGATTAGTCCAAAAGGCGCAGTACTTTTTGCGGTTGGGTCTGTTTTAGTTTGGATTATAGGATGCTTTCACACCTGCCTTATTTAGTTCGGTTGAATCGCACTAGGAGTTTGTTTTCCTTCTTGATGCGGTTGGTTTGGGCAGGTGTGAATGCAGCAATCGTACTCGAGTGCAAACCAAAAGCAGACCAAAATAGCATATTGAGACCTCCTTGAGGAGGTGGTTCACCTGGACACTTTCAAACCCACCCTGGAACAGTTTGTTTGTGGTGAGAACATGATAGAAATGGTATTTGGCAGTTAAATGTGTCTGGAAAAATATTCAAATAATTTTATTTTCATAAACAGCACGGATGTGAATGCGTCTGAATGTTTTGATTGGTCAGAGTAGATACGTCAGTGCGTTCTAAGCAAAAATGCTCTCTTTCTGGCAGTTGTCTTTCTGCGTTCACCCAGAGCAACATTCTGGTAAATTACCAGTAAAGTTACAACTTCACTTTTCGGAAAATTGCTGAAACTAATTAACCGGTATTTACAAAAAGGGCCTGTTCACACATGATCCCTTTCAGGACTATTGCTGTGATGTGTGAAAGGGGCAAAAGACTTGCTTAATTACTCAAACTTTAACGTAATTAGGCCTTTAAATGTCACATTAAGCTGAATACTAGTATCATGAAAAATATCTAGTCAATTATTGTGTGTCATCATGGCAAGGATAAAAGAAATCAGTGATTAGAAATGAGTTCTTAAAACTATTATGATTAGAAATGTGTTGAAAAACTCTTCCCTCCTTTAAACAGAAATTGAAGGAAAATATACAGGAGGGCTAATAATTCAGTTTTGGCTGTGATTGATGGAATTAGAATGAGAAAAGGAAGATTTTACCTGGACTGAGGGACAGTTTTGTCGACGAATAGGAATATGGCTTTTTCAGAAGGCAGCAGAATCCGCTTTCTGATGATCCACATGAACTGGGCCACTGTGATGTCAGACGGGACCAGATACTTCCGCTTGTCGATGTCCACAATCTGCGACCCAGAAACCTTCTCCACAATAACCTGAGGAACAGACGAGAGAGAGAGAGAGAGAGAGAGAGAGAAAATGACAACAACGAATAAGACTATTTCCCCCCCCCCCCCCCCCAAAAAATTTGAAACATTAAATGAGTCCTCCTTTAATCTAACCGACACAAAGAAATCTGACTATAAACTTGCCGTCTGCTTTGTCAATCTATGATTTATGAAGCCCTGAGGTTATGATCTGAGGTTATGATCTATGAGTGAAGTTATTGTACAGGTTTGACCTGTTTCATCGAAAACACCATTTTTTATTACACACACTCGCGGTTTAATTTAATTAATCAAACGCTGATCACACAAAGATTGTTGTGATTTCAATTTAGTTTTGTCTGTGTCGTTATTGTAGTAATAGTTAAAGGTCCGACCATTGTTGAACATTTATGCATACATTTATGATTGCCTCATTTATTTGTTCCCCAGTCATGTTTTTACCATAGTATTACAACATCTAGCCCATTTCATGAATTCAAAAAACAACGTGAGGGATTCTTTACAAATAAACCACATACAAAACAAAACGGATGCAAAATATTTAAAAGATTATCATAAAAAGCACGCAATTACCAGAAATGGACTCTATCTATCCATCCATCCATCCATCCATCCATCCATCCATCCATATATATATATATATATATATATATATATATATATATATATATATATATATATATATATATATATATATATATATATATATATATATATATATATGTGTGTATATATATATATATATATTAGGGGTTGCACCGACTAGTCAACTTTAATAATCTGCCATGCCACTTTTTTCATTTCATTGAAGTTGACTAGTCGCACTGCGCAGATCACGTGGTTTTTACCTCACCTACATGGCAGCTTTACACACAAAGGTGGTTTACTGAATGAAACTGTGCTCAGAGTATTTCAAGTCATTTTTAAAATGTTATTTTTCTTATGTCAGAGTCAAAGATTCACATGTACTTTGAGTGAACTTTGGGAGTCATTTAACTGAATTGTTTTGATGCGAGCCAGCTCTGGGATTCATTTAACTAAATCATTTTGATGCGAGTCAGCTCTGGGAGTCATTTAACTGAATCATTTTGATGCGGGTCAGCTCTGGGAGTCATTTAACTGAATTGTTTTGATGTGAGTCAGCTCTGGGATTCATTTAACCAAATTGTTTTGATGACAAGTTTTAATCATCATTAAGGTATGCTGGTTAGTCCAGTTATCCAATCACATCATCTGCTGATGCAAAATCATGATGCACATCAATGAATGTATTGAAAAAATCTGTAGCTTGCAATTTCCAATCAGACTAAGGGCATGTCCACGGGTATTTTTATAAACCGAGTTTGAGGCCTTCATATTTAAAAAATTCTTTGTCCACATAAAAATGCAAAACAGCAAGTTAATACATGTTAAGGGTACTCCCAACCAACAGGGGGCGATAAAAGGCTTTTTATGAGGGGGTCACACCAAATGCAGAATTAGGTTTTTGCAAGAGTACATTAAATAAAAGTCAAAAGTAAATGTGAAAACAAATCTCCCATTCCACCACGTCCCAAACGTGCTCAATTGGATTGATATCTGGTGACTGTGGAGGCCATTTGAGTACAGTGAACTCATTGTCATGTTAAAGAAACTAGTCTGAGATGATTCACGCTTTATGACATGGTGCGTTATCTTGCTAGAAGTAGCCATCAGAAGATGGAGACACTGTGCTCATAAAGGAATGGACATGGTCAGCAACAATACTCAGGTAGGCTGTGGTGTTGACACAATGCTCAGTTGGTACTAATGGACCCAAAGTGTGCACAGAAAATCTCCCCCACACCATTACACCCCCACCACCAGCCTAAACCATTGATACAAGGCAGGATGGATCCATGCTTTCATGTTGTTGATGGCAAATTCTGACCCAACCATCCAAATGTCGGCAGAAATGGAGACTCATCAGAGCAGGCAACGTTTCTCCAATCTTCTATTGTCCAGTTTTGGTGAGCCTGTGTGAATTGTAGCCTCAGTTTCCTGTTCTCAGCTGACAGGAGTGGAACCCGGTGTGGTTTTCTGCTGTTGTAGCCCATTTGCCTCAAGGTTGGACATGTTGTGTGTTCAGAGATGCTCTTCTGCAAACCACGGTTGTAACGAGTGCTTGTTTGACCAGTCTGGCCATTCTCCTCTGGCATCAACAAGGCATTTGGGCTCACAGAACTGCCGCTCACTGGATATTTCCTCTTTGTCGGACCCTTCTCAATGATCCCTAGAGATGCTTAAAAATCTCAGTATATCAGCAGTTTTTGAAATACTCAGACCAGCCTGGCACCAACAACAATGCCACATTCAAAGTCATATAAATCTCCTTCCTGTCCTGATTCTCGGTTTGAACTGCAGCAGATCATCTTGACCATGCCTACATGAATTGAGGTGCTGCCATGTGATTGGATGACTAGAAATTTGCATTAACGAGCAGTTGGACAGGTGTACCTAATGTGTGTGTGTGCATGTGTATGAATTTTCACAGTATTTCCTAATATAATTATTCTTTTGGAGAAAGTTATATTTCTTTTAGTTTAGCTGGAATACAAAGCGATGATTTTTAAGCTGTTTTAATGATTTTTAAGGTCAATATTATTAGCCCACTTAAATGTTTTTCTGATTGATTACAGAACAAAGCATTATTGTCCAATGACTTGTTTTTGAAAAATATCTAGTGAAATATCATGTACTGCCATCATAACAAAGATAAAAGAAGTTAGTTCTAAGAAATTAGATATTAAAATTAAGTTTATATATTTGTTAGGAAAAAATATATAGTCCATGCCTCAAAATACTGATAAAAACATGCGTATGAAAGCTGTGATGAGCTTGGATCCTATTAGAAGTGATCAAATAAAAAAGGCCATCTTCTTGTAGATACTGGTGAGCTTTCCACATTCATACTCACAGGAACTCTGTCTGGATACTTGTTGCGGATTTTGGCCGATTCCACACATCTGTGCTCTAAAAGAGGAACACAAAAACAAAATTTCGATCACTCAACATGCATCGCTCTTCACATCACTAGCCTAATATTAACTATAATCAGCATCCAATATTGTTCATCATCATATCTGTCTATCTATCTATCTGACAGTGTTTAATAATGAAAACACCCTAAAACAAGCTCAAATCAATACCCAAAAACACATTATAAATATAAATATCAAATCATACCAAACATTAATACATTTGTGTGGTATTTATGCTTGATAAACACGTGACGTGCAAAAATGAAAGGAAAACCAATGCACACGGCTATAAAACAACCCCACACGAAATAATGTCGGTTATTTATGTCGTTAAAATAAGCAAAGACCAGGCCTGACATTCGCAAATACGAGAAAGCGATCTATTTGACAGCACGCTGGGTTAAATCCGACCAAATTAACGTAAAGACCTCAGTGTGACAAACAGATCAATAATCACACGCATCTGTCAGGCCGTTGTTGATCATAACAAGACGTTTCTCGAAGATTTACCCAGAGAATGGTCCTCTTTAAACATCCATTTCATTTTTGCGGAGGTTTTGCTCGAGGAGCGACCTGTTAGTGGAAGTATCGGATGATTTAAAGTCAATTAAACGGCAAAACTAAAAACGTCAACAATGTATCAGCAGCAGCAGACATTCGTCTTCAGACGAGCCGTGATTACGTCACCGCGTACAGACCCGCTGCGTCAGAGAAGCTGACGTCAAGGCGGAGCCGTACCATTTAGCCTATTCGGGTGCTCTTATACACAATTTCATAAATATTTGAAGCAAATATATATTTAGAGCAGTATAAACTATGTTATTACACTACATTGTGTTTGTTTTAAATACAATGTACACTAATAATCCTATTGTTCACGAAGTGAAGCGTTTCTAGCTGTTGCTATGGTGAGCAAACGACGCTACACAACCGGAACTACAACCAGCGCGCGTGCTAGTTTATTTGCAGGATTTACTCATCTTTAGTTTAAGTTTGAGCGTTAAGTTTTGTGTTTAAAGGTTGTTAATACATATATCACACGATATACGCGAGTTTAAATGGTGTTGGATATGAGTTCATATTTAACGTTACTCCAATATAAATAACGCATAATGGCGTTTTATGACGTGTACGCGCATCCCGCTTT